TCCAAAATGGCTGTGTTTAATGTTCAGACTGTCCTCTATCTGTGTGCCAAACTGCACAACTTATTTTTACCATACGATTCTATGGGCTGCCATAGACTAAATAGCAGAGGAAGAGGAGGTAGAGGAGGACGAAGAAGAAGACTAACAGATACAATAGATGCCTATGCACCTCTGGTGCTTGACCCCTAATAATAGTAATAGTAGTTGAAAACTATAGAATTTTATTTTGTACTGCTGGACTGAAATGACACTTGACAAAAGCACTTTAATCAGTAGCTCTCATGAATATTCAAGACATCCGAATAAATATCTGAAAATAAATGTTGAAATGAATGCCAGATAGATCTTCAACATGGAGTGCTCTTAGTAAAAACTCAAGGATCAATTTGCATGTTGAAATGAATGGGAACACCTGATGCCTCTTTTGCCAACAGCTGATTTCTGGAGCTTCACTCCCAGAGAATCGGCAAAGTCCCTGAACATTATCTGTCAAGCCTGGTACAGATCTGTAATATTAATGCAGATATTAATGAGTTATTATAAGGACGTGAAAACCTCTAGAGTTACACATATACCATCATGTTACCCTAATTGACGGAGACTGTGTTATACACAGATCTTTTGTATGCAAATGTAATCATCTTTCTAATGAGATGAAGCTAGTTATTGCAGCTTGCAGATGTTGAGCGGCATCTACAGAGGGGGGTGGGCATGTATACCTCATGTTTGTGGGTTCAATGATTTGTGGACAGATGAAGTAGTTGTCCACCAAAATAAAAGCTAGGAGGTTTAATAATGGAATCATTTTAATGGATTGCAGTATATGAATTCTGCTAGAAATATATAAATGTTATAGTAAAGTCTAAAACACAGCATAATAATAATAATAATAATAATAATAATAATGCATTAGATTATAGTACTATACCATTTTTAATATTATAATAGTAAAACAGTTTTTAGCAATGTGAATACAAAGTGACACCTTATTTCTGTGGAAATAAAAATTGATCTCACTTCACTTTCAGGTACAATGTGAATGCATTGAAGACTGTTTTTCACCTTTTCACATTTTTCTCTTTAGGATCTTTAGCTGAAGTGGAAACAAAACAAATCTCACTCCACTTTCAGGTACAATGTGAATGCAATGAAAACTGGTTTTCACTTTTTCACACTTTTCAGTTTTGGATCTTCAGGTTAAGTGGAAAATAAATGATTTCACTCTACTTTCAGGTACAATGTGAATACAATAAAAACAGTTTTTCACTTTTTCACACTTTTCACTTTTGAATCTTCAGCTGAAGTGGAGATATGAAACTGATCTCACTCCACTCTCAGTTACAATGTGAAAGCAATGAAAACTTTTCACTTTTTCACTTTTTTCTCTTTAGGATCTTCAGCTGAAGTGGAAAAAAAAATGATCTCACTTCACTTTCAGGTACAATGGAAAGTTTTTTTTTTTTTCACTTTTTCACACTGTTCAATTTTGGATTAAATAAGGTACAAGTTACATTCTTTTAAATATGAACACCCTTAAAGAGTAACAATATGAGCTTCCAATCATATCACAATATGATTTTTTTAAATCAAATCATGTAACCCTAAACATGCTCCTTTATCATCTCCAAAGAACCATAAACAAGTTTAAGTTGGTTTATCGAATCTCCAAGTACCCAAAACCTGCCTACAATTGTCAAATCAGATCTGCTTGAATAACTTGGCCATGCTTTAGCATATTTTCAGCATTTGTATATCTCATGTACCTATACAACAAAAAATGGCTGTTGTTATGAAGAGAATTATCCAATTATGTTGAAAAAGAACAGCTTAACATGCTTTATTTTTAAAAGTGACTATCACAAATGTCACCAGCCGAGATAAGTGTAAGATATTTAGCATAATTTCAATAAGCAAATAAAATGCTACCTCCTCCAAGAAAAAGCAAGCGTTCACAAAATCAGTGGAGGGAGTGGAGACAACGAAGTTTGCAACAATTGGAAGCAAAGCAGCTGCTCTGTTTAACAGCTTTTTTAGATGATTTAGTAGCTGGGCCAAGTTCACTTAATTAAGGGGCTTATCTTCCTTACAGAGGCCATCATGTGTTGCCGTACCTAATTAGTTTTGCAGTATAGGTGGCTGTTTCTTGACACTGATGCAGGAAACTCGCCAGCACATGAGATACATATTTACAACGACAGTACAACCAGAAGAAAGTACCAGTTACTCTAATGGTCCCTCTACTAAATAATGCCTTAATAATATTGTAACATTTGACTTTTGACATGGGGGACTTTTTTTGCAGTTAATGAATTAATGGGGCTTTTTGTGCACGTAATGAACTGTTATTTATAGTGTTTTTGTTGTTGTTGTCTTTTTTTCCAGTTTACTTGGTGCCAATCTCACTACATTTTTAACTAAATTATTTTTTATTTAAGTGTTTAATTCTTAATTCACATGCAAGACTTGTTAGTCTGAAGATATAATCATGGATTAGCAAGAAAAGGATGCCTTTTTAATAAACCAGTAGCAGTTTTGACATTTTAATAATAATTAATTTTTTTGTTTTCAATGAGGATAAGGACAACTTGATTAGATTATTATTGTTGTTATTATTTTACTACTACTACTTTAACAATTGTTTACTACTACAAAACAATTATATTAAAAAATACATTATTATTCATTGTTATTTTAATAGAGTGGCAAATTTACAATTTTCTGTTGCTTTGTGTGTACGTCAATATTCAAAAGAGTAAACATCAGCTTATACTAAATATTTATTGATGAATGTCTTTCGTTCGACAAGAGACCTTGAGCGGGACTAATTAGCACTCAGTTTCTGACTGATCCCAGTTATGGCTCTTTAATTCAAAGAGCTCTGAAATGCAGAGTTGCGTTCTCATCGTTTCCCAGCACATTTTACACGAGCTTAAAAACATCTTGATGCCAGTCAAGGACAAGACTATAGGGCTTAGCAGTAGATCCTACTTAGCTGCATCCAGTATTTAAAAGTGACATGAAAATCGGACTTTTCCAGGTTTTAAGTGCTATAATCAGGTCCCCGGTGCATCTACCAACCAAGGAAAAGTGAAAAAGTTTAACCCAGTAATTTTGTTTTGGTAAGCCTTTTTCTGCAAGCGTCTGAAAAAAACGAGCGTGTTTGATTTCGCTCCCTTGGTGACGTGGCAAAGGGATCTCATTATAACATTACAGCCCCTTAATCTGTAAGTTTCCACCCACGGTGCCACCATTTTGATTTCGCAAGCGACAACGGTGTAATGCCATGGCGAAAGTTTGAGCAAAACATGCTAACTGTTCTGCCTTTGGCTGCACAGACGAGCACAGAAC